TACATTTCATATATAATAATAATAATTTATAATAATAATAATCTTTATTGTCCGTAAGGAAATTTGTCTTACAATTTGTGCATTACATCAAGCAAAACATTGTAACTAGAAAAAAACAAAATGTACATAAGGTATTTTGTTATTGGTCATTGTGCTGACCACAAGACTAGCTCATTGGAAACAGTTTTTACTTCCCTGGCATCAAAGTTCTTTGAGTTTCTATTTTAGTGTATGTTCATGTTGAATTGATTCCTTGAAAGATTTGTACTCTAGGCCTGTAATATCTTTATGACAAACAGTGTAGTGTAGGTACTGTAGGGAAGGTTAACTGTCAACCATTGATATATATAGATAGATATATGTAACATCTTTTTTTGGTCTCTAGTTGAGAATCGTAATACATTAATTGTACCTAATGGTCCACTTAAGAATTTTTGTTCAGTTGAAACATAGAGATCGACTTCATACTTGTTATTGTACTTGATGATATTATGCTTATTATAGTTCTTATAATGAAATGCAGATTCTAGATTTGAAATATGGGTAAGAATCAAGAAAGTTTATGAATAATTAGCTGTTTTAAAATGAACAAGAAAACATTAGATTTTAGTCTCTTTTAATTTATTTTAAATGAAATAATTTAATTTCTTATTGTTGTTATTTGCAATGTGAATTTATTATTTTTTTATTTTCAATGTCAGGAAAGCTGCAGCAGTTTATTTGACTTTTGATAGTCTGACTAATGTGCCAAAAGAACTACTGTTAAATCTCTGGCGTGAAGGTCCAGTCAGCCCTCAGAAGCTGTATGAGATTGAATGCAACATTTGTCTGTTCTTCAGGCTCACTGTCAAGGTCGTGTGCTCAAAGTGTAACTCTGTTTTGGTGGAACACAAATGTAAAGGATGTAAGGACCCACAGTCCTGCACTGCTCAGGCCATTGCTATGTAAGAACATAGAAAGTGTTGCTTGAATTCTTACCTTTTTATTTCAAGCTTCATGGCTTCAGGCTGCATTGATGCTCAGTAGAATACTTATTTTTTACATATACATTTTTGTTTTAAAAGTTGGTAATTACTGCTTGAAATGTTTCCAGAGATGCTCAGTAGAATATTTTTGTTGTAAACACTGCTTGAAATGTTTCCACAGATGCTCAGTAGAATATTTTTGTTTTAAAAGTGGCTGCTTGAAATGTTTTACAAAAGTAAATGTTCCTATTGTAATGTAATCAATAATGGATAAATGAATGATAAACATAAATATAAATGAATGAGTCATACAAGGTTTATTAAAATACGGGATAAGATTTCAGCACTATTTGTAGATGTATGAAAAAATACATTCCATGTTTCAATTGGAATAAATGTCCAATATCTGAATCAATAAATATAAACTGGCTAACTTCCTTTTAACAAAAGTCAACACAAATATCTTACAACTCCAATTGAACTTAATAGTATCTCTAACAGTATAACAACTGTACTGTCACTCAACTGGACAATAATACAACTGAATCTCAACTATCAACTCCAACTGAATTGAACTGAAACTTTCTTTCAAGCTTTGAGCTAATTTGGCATCAAGTCAAAACTTCTTAGAAAAATGGAACATTTAATATCTTTTAATTCTGACCTCAAGTTAAGTACAACTGGGTCAGTTACAAAAAGTTAGCAAAAAATGATCTTCATAAATATTTGTAGAAAATTATTTGTTGGATATGCTCAATGTCAAAACCAGGTCACTATATTACAATCATAATTTATTTGTTGATTTTGTCAATGTAATTACAATAATTAATTTTTTATGACCTGAAAAAAAAAGTAAAATTGAGAAAAACATTTTGAGTGAAGAGTTGCAGCTTTAGACTCTTTATTAGATTTAAATAACATCACAAGATACATAATTGTAGTTTCTTTTAAATACAGAACAATAACAATGAAATAATAATATCATCAGTTTCTAAAATGTTTCAGAATTCTGATTGATGATGGAACTAGCTCCGCCAGTTGTAAAGTTTCCAATCCTGAACATGTCCGTCAGTTATTAACTCTGACTGAGACTCAATGGGACGATTTGCTGGAAGTTGCTAAAAAGGATGGAGAACTAATGGTTACCAAGGTGATGGCAGAAATTTTTCTAAATTTTTTCTTCCGATTGTAAATAAGTATCTCTGTTTTGTATTTTAAATGCCTTTGCTTATTTGCTAGGTCTCAGGGAATACAACTTCTGTCATCTGGTTTCTAAGTAATTTAACAAATTCAACAATGGTACTCAGATGCTGCAGATTTGTGGTCAGAATCTATCAAAAATCTCCATGGGCCAAGACTTTAGAAGCAGCCAACATTTCAGGTCAGTTGAAATAGAAAAGTTAGGAGCTTTTATTCTATAGAAATTGTTAGTTGTAGTTTATGATAACCTTTTTTTTCTTCTTCAAATTAAAAAAAATGTTCACACCCAAGCAGTTTAGATTCACCTTAAAATTTATCTTATCTGTTTCCATAGGTTCAATTTTGAAGATATCATTTTTATCATAGTGGTAAACATTCATAAAAGGTTTTTCTATTTGAATTTAATTTTCCTTGTCTATCTAGCTGTTATGGTACCTAGCAGGGGAAGGGGAAGTAATTGTATTGTTTTGCTTATCACATGACACCAAAGAGCAGGTGAAGAGGACATCATCATCATATTTTTTTTTAAATATTACAAATTTCTGGATGTTCCTTCAGATTTGAAGATAATTAGGGCCTACATTAGGATGGTGGTGGGCAGGGTTGATACCCAGGACCATTTAGAGTAATTTAGACTAATAATCAGCAGTCCATAATGCATTGTTGTAAATATCTATAGAGTCTACAAAGTTGTCAGAATATTCAGAGGGAAATCCCATTCTTTACTATACTTTAGAATTTGTTCTGTGCATTAAGAACAACTTCTAAAGAGCCTGAAATTTGATAGTCATACCAATTATTTACTTTCTGTGAGATAACTGATTATAGTTGTTCATAAAAATGTTTTCCCAAAAATACGTTTTTTAAATAGGAATACAAAACACTTGAACTCTTTCAAAATTTTGTAGAGATAATTAACATTTAAATTATTTATAGAAAAAACACTTAGAAATCCTGTTTTTAAAATTACTTTACGTCTAAGTAGAAATCATTTTTTTCAGTCTCTGTACTGCTTTATGGGTAATCTGGACATGTAGTTTGAGGATTGAAAACTTCATTGACATTCAAGATCCATGATATTATTTTAGCAGCAAAATCATTACAACTTATTGATTTTATAAGACTCCATATTGACACAGAAAATAAATTCAAGGAAATTTCATAGTTGTTAAATTAAACATTGGAATTTTTTTTTTTTTTCAGATTTACAATTAAGAGAAGAAAGAATTGGACAGAATGTCTTGTATACACATAGCCCTCCATTACTGCAAGTAGAATGTTTGGCCTTACAAAATTGTTAGATGGAATTCATTTTGCTTTGTAAAATTTGTCTTCTTAAGGGTTTGATTTGACTCTTTCTCTCCAGAGTAATGTTCCCATCATCGAATTGAAATGGCTTTTTCGGTCAGATGATGCATCATCAATTCTTTGAAACTTATTTGTTTCATTTTTTTCTACCAAAATGTTTTTAATTGCTTTAAAAATCAATCTTCAATAGTTTTACTTTGTTAAACATCCAGATTTTTTCTCTTTCAAAATGTTGGTATGGAGTAGGGTTTAAAGCGGGAGGATTACACTTTCTCATTTTTTTTTTAGCACTCCTTTTATGATGGTAGTGATTTGGGATATTAAGCTCAAAACGTTCCTTCTAAGTGTTTTTTTTAAAGGTGTTATTTATAAAGTTTAGTGTAGATAAATATCATACAAATATTTTTTTATTTGGATCATAAAATATTTCCTAGTTCTAGGTGACCTGCCCCCATTTGGTGACTTAAAATTTTCAATTTCATAATCCAAAATATTAAAATAACTTATAGCCCTACTAATATTTTTAAATTTGTTGTATATAAAAAGGTCATACCAAATATAACAATTTCTGATAACAAACAAACAAAAGTTATTGAAGCTTAATCACACCACGGTAGGGCATAACAAATGGGCCAAACAAATAATACTGTCATTTTGGAGGGAAAAAGTAAAAATTTATTTTAAAAAATGACTTAAAAGAATATAATGTAGCATGTTTTCAGTAAGTTTATGGAAAATTTAATTTTATTCCTGGATTTGAAGTAGTAAACAGAACAAAGTCATTAGTTACAATCACAGACCTAACTAGATGACTTTGATAGGACTGAATGTTTATAGAATTGTATTTTATAAATGTGTCAGACAAACTACTGACGTGTCTCTAATGATGCATGATGTTCAATCAAAATACTTGGGTTAAAACTAGACTACTTCCTGGGGTTGTCTGTTAACATTACACAAATGTAATGTATATTATCATTAAGGATTTTTTTTGTGTGCTGTGAAAATTTGTTTCATGTTCAAGTATTTCCTTGTTGACAGCTCTAGAGGAAAAAAAAGATTAAAGCAGTGGTAGTGATTTAAGTTTCTGAGTAGATGATTCTTGGTTAGAATTTTAGTGGAATTAAGTTTTTTCTTTCATCATTGATTAATCATTGGAATTGTACTTCTTAATATTTATTGATACCTAAAGTGTTTATTAGAAAGATATATTGTATTTCAAATGCTAAATCAATAACCATTCTTTAATAGCATTTCTATTGAAATGTTGGATGATAAAGCAAATTTATTTCTGGACATTGATCCTCTATGGGTTCATTATTTTGTTATCTAGGAAAAAGATAGCGAGGAATTCAAACATTATTTATTTATTTATATATTATGTTTTTTATATTATATAGTGCACATACAAAAAAAAATTATGTAATTTTGTTGGTGTTTGTCTTTAAAAACAAAAACTTTTCTATATACATGAATGCAGGTTTGTTTTGAAACCATAAGAGAAAAGAAATGTAAGAAACACTTGAGATTATTAAGAAACAAATAACTTCAATAACTTTATTTATCTAAAAATTGTCATCTTCAAATGTGTCAATACCAATGTATTCTTAATAATTTCTGGTCAGAGCCAAGCCTCTGACCTGCATAATGAATTGATATTTACAAGCAGTGTAATGATAAACCAAACAAAGAAGATCTAGAACCCTGGTGAGGGAGGGCCTGAAATGGAGAATATTATTGCTAGGTAAACAGTTTGTTATCTGATAGGAACCTATCTTGGGATTTCACATTTTTTTTTTTGTACTAGAATATAAAATTCTGTTTTTCTAGCTTTTTAAAAACCATTTTCCTCTGAGTCCAGCCATAAATAAAATGTTGAATTTCTGAACGTGAGGGGGGACGCTGCCTTTGTTGTATCAATACTAGATGAACTCATGCAATGTTATTCTCTAAGGCACTTGTTCATTTCATAAGAGTTCATGAATCAAAACATTGTTCATATAAGTCAATAGATCAACACAATGAGCACAAGTGACAGCAGACTTTGATTCACCTTGATTTTTGACACAATTTCTAAAACTCTTTGATGAGTTCAATGAAAATACAAAAGGAAAGAACATTGAAACAAAAAAATTTATGAAAATGCAAATTAACAAATAAGTTTGAAAAAAAAATTGTTTTCAATGAGAATAAGAAAGAAAGAATGTAGGTAAGTCAATTGTTCTAAAAGCTAATTAGTAATCTTTAAAAAAAATCAAATCCTACTTAATGTTCAATATAGTAAACTGTATTCAAATGTTTGCCTATTAACTTAGCTAACCACCCATAAAACAAATAGTCAAACATAGATATTTTAGATCTAGATCTATAAATGACATCTAAACTAATTGAAAATAAAATGGCCAGCAATTTTATTTAATTCAATAGTTGATGAAATGATTATTCTGAAATTTTCATACAACGCATCATAAATGAATGTGTGAAATTTCAACTTAAGATAATGAATGGTTGTGGAAACAAATGATTCAACTTTCTAATCATCCCATCCCAATGATTCACACATACTAGTGGTAGATATTTCATGAAACCTAAACATCTTCTTGTTTATACACTGTATCATTGTAAAAATACAAATTAACAGAAAGTTAAAACTATAATTAATGTTATGCTATTTCATTATTTTAAAACAAAACAAAACAAAGATTATCACCTATAACTAAAAAGTACAAAAACATCAAAAAAATATTACATTTCTTTAAACCTTAGTTGTATTTCAAAGTAGATGTGATTTTGTACAATTTGAATTTTCATCCAATGTTTCATTGTAAGACAGTATAAGTTAGCTCTTCAATTATTAAAAAAAAAACCCCATAATGAACAGATTGATGTAGCAATTCCTATTGCTATGATAACTTTGGTCCATGAAATCTAGGCAAGAAGGGGCATGAGGGAATGGGAATGAACATTTCTCTCAAACTAAACTTCAAATAGTAGAAAAATAGTTTCTTAAGAGCTAAACATAGATCTAGATACAAAACATGTACAAAATCTTCAGAGTCTTTAAAATTATGAAACATAATTTCTAAACAGTTTTGACTGCCTAACTAAAGTAATCTTGTTTGATACCCTGGTAATCTGTATTATGCTTTATACAAATCTCAAGCTTTTTTGTTTAGTATCAGAAGAAAATAGGAGGGATATATATTTCTTCCCATGAGTAGGTGTGGATCCCATATAAAAGTGAAAGCTATTTCATGAAATTACATAATTATACACTGAATTAGACAATATTATTTTAATAAGTTTAGATTTCATATTATGTATATTCAATATTACTTTTTATACACAATATTTTTGTTATTGAAAGTTTTAAGCTGTATGGAAATGAAACATTGTGAATTTGTGCGTTTTGTTGAAAGATGAACATTCATGCTTTACAATTCAGTTACTGAAGTCTTTTTCTTTTTTTCAAATAGAAGTTTGGAACAATTTAGCACCTCTGCTTTTAATGCTGAATTGAAAAAAAAAAAAATTAATTTCTATTTGGCTTAAGTGTTACTTTGAGAAACATTTGCAATAATTCTGTGGCAGCTACTTTTAATATCATGTTATTTATATCATATTTAATAGTGATCAAATTGATTTCCTTTATAAAGATAGGCTACATGCCCTATCATAAGGGCTCTAAATAAACTTTTCTTTTATACACAGAGTAAACAAAAACCAAAATAGTGTTTTAAAAATAAAAAAAAATGAAAATAACTAGATTTTTAACTTAAGGGTTTTGTTTCATCAACCGCACTGTCCCCCCTCCCCCACCCCAAAAAAAAGCACAATATATATTACTCTCTCTCTCTATATATATATATGAATGTATATAAATATAAGTATAAAATAAGATTAACCTCTTCCTTCACTTATCTATCACTTCATCTCTAAAACCACTCAACTGAATGACATAGAAATCATGTACACAATTTGTCTTATCCTTGAGTTACTTACAAGAAACAGTTTCTGGGAGACATTTTAAACTCTTACTGATGACCATTTGTCATAATTTTTTGTTTTTTCCCAGCAATTATTTAAAACAAAAAGTCAGAATTGAAATAGAACCAACCTGAACCAAATGGATACTTTTCTTATTTTTAAGCACTCTTAGACTTAGATCCTTAACAATTTGGCAGCAAGCTATCTCCATAAGATCAATCACTGGCAATGTCTGAAGCCTCTTCCAACCTAGTGTCCACTGCACTGAGGTCCTCTATGAAAGTGTGGTGCTAAGTGCCCTGTTTGCACTTTCCTTGTATTGGCCTCCATGTCATTGCAACTATTGGTATGGGTAATTCATTCTGTCTGAGGACATGTCCCAAAAACCTCATGCAACAATTGGTCACAACCTGATTCTTTGTTTGAGACCCGATCTATGTAACTGACTCCTTAAATCCGTTGTAGCAATTTTTGTTGAGCCACATATAGTCTATTCTCAGTTGGTGCATAACTCATTATTGCAAAGCATATAGAAAAAATCTGACATTTGCTTCCCCCTCTCCCAATATATGAGAAAAAAAAACAAGAACATATCAAGACTAACAGGAATTGATTGGCTACAAGTATGTGGGGGGGAAGTGGGAAAAAAATATAATTATATAAAGTTTATTTTGCTGTACCTTTTGGTAGCGTATGAGAGAACTTTGGTAGGGTATGAGAGATCTCTTGTTTGAATATTAAAAGAATTGGTTTTAGAACATCTTGGCATTTTAAAACAAGATTATATCATAAATCAGGAAACAATGAGTATAATTATTGAGTAAAGCTAGACATATATATATATATATATTAGGGTGGTCCACAAGTATATGGAAAAAACATAAGTATTTCATTTTTTTATGTCTTACCCCTTCAGATGGACCCTATAGATGAGAAATTCAGTTTGTGTAATTTTCATGTTGATTGAAAGCCGTTTAGAACTTGCTCACATCCATTAAAATACAGATTTTTTTCATTCAGAGCTACTTATAATTTTTTGCTTTAACTTGCTTTAAAAGAACATTTTGGTTAATTGGATGCTATTGTAATTTAATAATATAGCATAATAGATTGATTCTCTATATATAAATTATATATAATTTCAATCTTGCACGGTTGAAATGCCCGTCGTTTGTTCACATTATTTAAAATGATTACATTGGTCTATGTCTTTTTAAAATTTGAAGTTTAGTTTACTTAATTACTTGTATCCATGCTTGTTGCGTGTATCACTTCGCCTGATAATAAAATTTGACAAACAATAACATTTCATTATTTTACTGACGTTCTGTTAATTTTGTAGGTGAAATCATGAACTCTGAAAGAAGGACAAGAGCAAATTCACAAGTGTGGTTTGTGGGGACCGTGAATTCATCCATTACTCAAGAGGGAAGACTTCCAACACTTCGAGATGTTCTATCAGTATTCTTCTATCGACACATTGAGGAAAAATTGACATTGAGTGAAAGTGCAGATATCGCAGTGATGGAATTACTAAAAATTTGGAAAAAATCTGGCATCCCAACGAGTTTTGATTACAATATTAAAAATCGCTTGTTGAAAGTCCATAAAGAATGGCAAATGCTTAAAAAATCAAAAAACCGCCGAAGTGAAACGCAGTTGGAGAATGAAAAGAATTTTTGTGATCAACTTGACCTTTTGTTTGATGTTGCTCATCAAGAAGCCCGAAATTTAATTGCAGTACCTGAAGACTGGGAATTTCTCGTTGCTCAAAGAGAAGGTCAACGTGGATACATGGCTGGAATTGATAGAGATGCCGAGAGAAAGAAAGAAATGTCAAACAAAAAGGAACAAGATATCAAGAAGCGCAAGGAGAGATCAGACAGAGAGGTGGCAGCTCTCTTGGAGAAAGAAACATGTGAACTTAGCTGTGAAAGTAGCACTCCAGAACAATCGGATGAAGAGTACAACCATGTTGGTCCTCGCAAAAAGAAAGTATGTCAACTGGAATGACAGAGTCCTAACCTCATTACAAAGGATGTTGCAGCTGCATTGGACCGCACGAAAGTGTCTGATAGAGAAGCGGTGTACCTACTGGCCTCAGCAACTCATGCTCTTGGACACGATGTGCAACAGCTACCTGTGAGCCGAAGTTCCATACGTCGTGCAAGAATTGAACACCGTGAATCTGAAGCGAACTCTATTCAGAATGCATTTTCTCCAAATGGCCAATTAGTAATTCATTGGGACGGCAAACTGTTACCACGTGTCACTAATCAAGGTAAAGTGGATCGCCTTCCCGTAATTGTCACAGGACACAACGTGGAGCAGTTGCTTGGAGTGCCCGAATTTGTTTCTGGTACTGGTGAACATCAGGCATCAGCCGTCATTACATGCATAGATAACTGAAAACTTCGAGACAATGTTGTTGGAATGTGTTTCGATACAACTGTCAGCAACACTGGTCTACACACAGGCGCTTGCCACCTGATCGAAGAGCGCCTTTCGAAAGATCTTCTCCATCTGCCATGTCGCCATCACATTTTGGAAATTGTTGTGGAAAAGGCATTTACAGCAATGAAATTTGAAGCATCATCTGGGCCGGACATCGCCATATTCAAACGTTTTCGGGACTTCTGGCAGGACATCGACCAAACCAACTTCGATACTGCCAGTGACGAAGTAGCAATTACGTCATTCAAAGAACATGTGATTAGGTTTGCGGAGACCACATTGGCAATTTCACAGCCAAGAGATGATTACGAGGAACTTTTGGAGCTCACAATCATCTTCCTCGGCGGATCACCGCCAAAAGGAATTCGGTTCAAAGCTCCAGGAGCTCTGCACCATGCAAGGTGGATGGCGAAAATCATCTACGGTCTGAAGATATGGATATTCTAATCGCAATTCAAGTTGAAAGCTTCTGAAGAGAAAGCCCTCATGACGTTCAATTTGTTCGTTGTTGAAGTGTACGTAGAAGCATGGTTTCAGGCACCATTTTCAGTTTACGCTCCAGCTAATGATCTGCATCTCCTTGGTCAATGGACGTCATACAAGAATCCGACAATTTGTCAGGCCACTTCTGTCGCATTCCGACGACATCTTTTGGTATCTCAGTGAGCTGCTGGTCTGCTTTGCCTTGTTTGATGAGCGAATTGGACTGGAAGAGAGGGAGAGAGATGGTGCGGAACATGGACACAATACCTGGAGCTACGCCACCCCCAACACAAGCGTTACGTGATTGTGACGAAAAGAGACCCCTGAGTTCCTTCGTCACCACATCTACCAGAAAATTTTTCCAAATTCTTCAATTGCCTGATTCATATCTGACACAGAATGTGAAGACATGGAAAGAGAGTGACCACTACCAAGAAACCCTCCGAATCGTTCAAGGCCTCAAGGTGGTGAATGATTGTGCTGAACGAGGAGTGAAACTGATCCAAGAGTATAACTCCATTTTGACCAATGATGAACAACAGAAACAGTACCTTCTTCAACTAGTTCAGCAACATCGTCATGTATTTTCTGACTCTAAGAAGACAATGGTTGTAAGTGGCCTCACTGGACAGCCAAAATTAATGTAAAAATAAACATTATTGATTTATTACCATGTGTTTATTTCCTGTCTCATTGCTATAATTCGGGATAATTTTAGACTGTCTGCGCAACCTCTAAACCCGCTCAGAAATTCTTAAAAATTTTATCTGGCACTTTTAACATCAAATGGACCTAGAATATGACTTAAGGGTTTAATATTTCAAAAATAAATTTTTTTGGACCACCCTAATATATATATATATATATATATAGTCAAAAAAATAGTCAAAACTTTTTTATTAAAGCTTTCAAAAAGGTCTAGGGGAATCCACTTACTAAAATTCGGCCCTGCCTATATAAATTTGACTAGCTAATTACATTTAGTCTAAATGTTCTCTTTTATACATTAAATGCACTCAAGGTTCTACTTACCAACAATATATTTTTTGTAAACAATTGCATTCATATTACATTGCTTCATTGATTCATATAAAGAAAAATATTGAATCAACAAGGACAATACTTAGAACAAACCACAACACATACTCTAGTTATCTACTGTTAGCTACAAATACACTTGTTTAAAATGACAGGGGGGGTGTTACTCTTGTTCATGAGAAGCAGACATGAAGCAACATTCCTGTGCTAGAGTTAAATCCAAAATATTTCTAGAATAAAATGATCTGCCCCCAAAAAAACAACATTTTGCACTATGGGAGTCCATTATGAGCTCCACTGAAGTAAAGTTTTATAAAAAAACAACAACTAAACCCATAATAATAAAGAAGCTTGTTTGACCAAAACTTAGGAGAAATACTTGAAATAGTTGTCCCTTAATGATGACTAAATTGAAAAGATTAAAAGTGTTCGACTGTAGCTTATCACTTTTGTCAACACAATGCTCTTATTAAAATTGCCAAT